ATACTGGAATGTGGTATTAAGCAGTTTTCAGTATGTGTTTAGCAGATTAAAGGTATATTCCGAGATAGAGTAACTAGTATTTCAAATCCTGATAACATATCATATGCTGTCGATGGGACCTACACAGGATGTAATACTAAGGATATACTGGTACGTGAAATTAAGCACACCTCAGGATGAGTTTTGGAGGAAACTGGGATATTACGGTATATATATGAGGATATAGTAAGTGAGAACTTAAGTCTAAATACCATCTCGCTACTGAGCATTGCGAGCCTGAATTAGTCATCCCGTACGCTGTTGATGGGATTAAGATAGGATGTTTTGAGGATATAATGATATGTGTTTAAAAGGTTAGTGGGATATTCCAGGATGTCCTGAGGATGGAGTAAGTAGGACTACAGATCCTGATAACATCCTGTACACTGTCGATGGGACTTAGTTACGATGTCCTGAGGATATACTGGGATGTGACATTAAACACTCAAAAGGATGTGTTTAGAAGGTTCGGGGGATATTTCGAGATGTCCTGAAGACTCATTTCCTAATTCGAAACGGCTCTTTTACCGGAAATTCGAATCGGATGAGGGAAAGGCTTTCCGATGGCAACTGATTCTTTGAAGATCCCGGATCCAGGACGTTTTTAAAGAACTACATAGCAGCCCTACAGGAGGCCTTTTCGGAATAATGAAAACTCTGCAGAGTACGAAAGCGCTTATACTGGAGCAATGCAAAGGATGACATGAAAATGTGGTGCCAATCTTGCGATGCCTGTGCGGGTAGAAAAGAACCGAAGAAATGCAGACGATTCAACGTTACAGTATAGGAGCGCCTTTTGAATGTTTCGCGTTTCACATCTGAAACCTCTGCCCTGAGCTTCTGATGGCAACGAATACATCCTTGTCGCCATAGATTACTTCACCAAGTGGCCTGAAGCGCATCCTATTCCTGATCAAGAAGCTGTCACGGTAGTAGAGGTAATGATACAGCATTGGATTTTCAAGTCCGTACCTCTTCAGTTACATTCCGATCAAGCAAGAAATTTCGCATTGGCTGTAATTAAAGAGCTCTGCAAATTACTCGGCATAGACAAAACCTAAACGACACCTTTACATCAGACGCCATGGTAGAGAGGTTTAATCAAACCATTATTAATAACGTCTTCTGAGTCTTTCCAGAAATCAACAGTACTGGGACAAGAAGTTACCTCTGTTTTCATTGGCTTATCGCAAAGCTGTCCACGAGACTACCGGCTATTACATCCCAGACGCTCTTCGATCGTGACCTTCGTTTGCCTTGTAATCTCTTGATTAGTCGCCGTCCGGATGTGGCTTCATACCCCCGAGGAGTACATCCAAGATCTTCAAGGCACAGTTTGAAGTGGTTGCACAATTTTGAACAAGAGCGAGTCATCTTGGCGACGGAGAAGTTGAAGACCCGATATGACACAAGAATTACAGGACATCGACAACGAACATCATTCAACGAAGATGACAAGGTATGGTTGCGAAATTTGATTCGACGGAAAGGATTCTCTCCTTAACTGCAATCACCTCGGATGGTCCTTACAGGCTAAACAGTTTGAACGACGTCGTTGTTGAGATCCGTAAATCACCTAATTCTAAGCCTAAAGCCCCATATTATGGCCTATATTAGCCCCTTACTATGGCCATATTACGTAATGGATATAATGTAAATAGAATAAGACCAAGGTCCTAGGTCTTTCTAAATTTGTAAATTTGTGCAAGCCATTTATTAATTTAGTATTTGATTTGTTTTATGTTATTTACTAAAATTATGAAGTTTTGCTCTGATTTGCTTTAGTTGTAAGTATGTCTTCATGTCCAGCGATTGTGCTGCCCGGGATGTGTAGTCCTTCGGAAGGGGGCAATGTTACAATTTTTTATTTTAGATGATTTTATTGCAGTATTATGTGAAATTGTCGTATTTTTCTGTGTAATGTAACGCGAAACGAATTTTGAAAGAAAGTTATGCAAGAAAAGTAAGAATACAGGGGCAAGTCCGCTTAGCATTGAGTAAATGGTTGGGTAATATGGCGAGAAATCTCCAAATTTGTGACCATTTGGCGACGTTTTGGTCTCCTCCCTGTATCACCATTATATGTATTGAAATTGAATAAGTGTAACTGACCACTGTGTTAGCTTTAATCGTAATTCCAACCTCGTATTGCTTTCTACTAATTTCGAAAAGTAGAAAGTACTAGAAATATTTCCGCTGCCGGTTGAAAACTATTAAAGGCCGAAGAGAGAACATCTGTTGGCAGTTGCTTAGTCATTGTTGTTGCGATCTATTAGTTCCGCGTGAACTGAGTTATCCGAGTTTAGAGTTACTTTTCTTAGACAATACTGAACCCAATTTCTTTCAGACAGAAATGCAATCAAATCTCAATAATTGTTTGTGGTTTATTGAGAAGGTCTAATTCTTTTTGAACTGGCTTTCAGAAAGTTTTGTAGTCTCCCTTTTCTCGGGTCCCTAAGTACCTCTTTCTAATCTCCCCTTTAATTGATGCCGTAATCACATGCTTATTTTGCTTAATATTTAAGCCAGCTCTGAAAATGATTTGGCGTTCATGCAGTTTAATACGGAAACCACTGTGCAGCCCGTCAGGTTTTGCGAAACACTAAACGTGCTAAAATAATTATGCTCTGCTCGGAGTTTGATCCACAGATCTTTCAGCTGCCAGCTGGATCTGGTAGAATGCGATATTTCTTATGACTTCTCATTAGCGGTCAAAACAAATGCTAGCAAATATAAATATTAATCATATACTGTATTTCGTCACGTATGTTTCCTCCTATCCTTTTAGCTCTAACTTCTAAAAATTTAAAAATATTGATATCATTCCCTTTTCCTCTAATGTATATATTTTCCCACTCTCGTGTGTAGTTTATTTGTAAATTGTATTTCATTGATTATTTATATTTTTATCCAGTATATTAAATTTGTATTTGCGTATTTTTATTAGCATTTCATCCATTTTATTTTCCCTTGCATTTATTATTTGGAACATATTTTGAGCTACACGGTACGTGTTTTCATACATAACAAATGTTCCATGCATATGATTGGAATATATATATATATACACATTGCGAACGAAAAACTAATGTTTTCAAGCCGTTTTCAAAGAAATTTTCCGTATTCCCTCAATCCACCTATTTATAGAATGGTTAAACTCCCAAATTGAACATCCGTGATGGTTTTTTCAAATGTGGGAACAGACAACTCCTCTCAGACGCTGAAGGATTTCTGAAGTTTTCACTCTCTCTTTTTATATTTAAAAAATTTTTCCTGTTCGCATTTTAAGTGTCGCAAAAACAGTGCTACAAGAATGAGTCTGAATCAGTCAAACAACCGAATCGTAACTAAACAATATTGCGCTGAATAGCTGCATAAACATGCCAAGAGTTGTCTCCGGCCAAAAACGTTGCCTGGAAGTTCTGGGTAATAAATTATAGCTCTTCATAAAACGTATAGAATTATTGTAAACTTATATAGAACTTCGGAAATGTCTTACTTATTTATGTAAGATAAATATACATGTGTTTTGTAATATAAGTAACCATACCTTGTTTAAAAAAACCTAGATATAAAACCTCGAGTGATAGAAAAATTACTGTCACAAAAAGTCAGCATAAAACAAAACTGTCTGCTCAAATGCAAAAAGGAAAAGTGCAACATGGGATACCAGTACTAATAGCAGACGAAATCATAGCATTTGGGAGTTTTTTTTACTCTCAGTAATACGTAACATGCAATATATAAGTATTGGACAAGGGGGAAAAAAGAAAGGTTCTTACCGATTTGACGACGTGAATTTCAGCTTATTAACATTATTCAATTTGCTTTGTAATTTGTAGCTTTGCTATTATCCGTAAAACTAAAGTTGAGTCCTGCAGATCCTAATAGGCAAATTAGCGAGATCTTGCTAAATCTTAAATATTCACAAATACAGGAGAAGATTTTAAATAACTTTTTTATTTTTTCTGAAATTTGAACATAAAAGCCACGTTTTGTGCTCTACAAACAAACCACCGCTTGTGGCAATGTTTTTTCCCCCAAATGGCTGGTCATTATAGGTGTTAGACACTACTAAGGCCGGAATTTGTGGTCACATTGTTATGGAGGCTCCTAATAGTGAACCACTGTTGCCTCGTATGAAAGAACAGACAATTTACATCCATGCCTTTTTCAAGAATTCGAACTCGGAGAAGGCATAGGTACCAAATAAATTAAAAAACGGATAACGTGGTTTAAGAATACGTATTCAATGAAATAAGCTATAAGCTAACTTAATTATTTTACCGGCGCATAAGCTTAAAGCATTGGCTAGGGAGAGAATGCCAAAGTCGAAATATCCCTTATAAATATAACTGGCAAGGAATTTAAATAGCGCGACACAATTGCCAGAAAACTCTCTTTCTAAGATTCAGCACCCTCAGCTTACATACTCTCAAGGCTAATTTGAATTCTAGTAAGGAATACGGAAGGAAGAAATCCTAATAAAGATCAAAATCCTTAACTGGGTAATTAACATAAATTCTTATAAAATATTAGTATTTAATTTCAGCGTATGGCTTAGTTTCTTGATCTCTAATCATTAAACATGATACTGCAATATTTCAGTGTGTTTTTTATGTTTTTAATACTAATTTATCTTATGCAAAAAATTAAACCATTATCAAATAATTTAAAAATATATGTGAATCATTAGTAATATTTTTAGTTAATTATAATACGGATTATTCACGTGTCCAAATCCTTTTTCAATCGTACTTAGATTACCCGCGTTCTTGAGTCATTCATGCACGTCGTCCTGGTACTCTACCAGCAAATCAATCTAGTGTTGACTATAGTGGCTAAAATAAGTAGTATTATAAGATGATCCATTAAGTTTAAACACACATACCTTTGGATCAACCGTACAGCTTATTTGTTTTTCATACTGTAAATATCAAATATTTTCTTCTTTTCTCTAGGTTCTTCGTCTGCTCCAGAAGAATGAAGAAATTTTATTGATAACAAAAAGAAGATGTAACACTGACGGAGATCAAAGTTATGTAACTTTAAAACAGTATGTGTTAATAAAATTCAATTTTTCAGCTCTTTATCGTAAAGTTTATTTTTAAAAAATTGAAGAAGGAATGCTAAAACCGTTATCAGACCTGCAAGCTATCCGTGATTATTCGTGATAGCGCGTCGAAAGAAACGTATCCAGGTTTGATTTATTGGATTACGGCAAAGCACTCGAGGGCTATCTGCCTTAAGGGAGAGATGCCTTCATGGAAGGCTTTTTAAGGAAAACTGACTCGTATACACGTTACACATGGGGAACCACGAAAACACCCACGCAGCCAGCCCGTTCGCGGCATTCGAACCTACTATTCGCATTCGTCGCTACCAGTGTTCAGTGACGTTACCGCTCGGCCGCTGGTGGGCGAAACGTATCCAGGAAACTTTGTTTCTAGATTATCTGACTGGTTGACTTATGGGGTTATCACACCTAACGATAGTTGAGGTTAGGCCATATTTTTCCGAGGAATGAGCTTCTTCTTTTTCTACCTGTAGAGCAATGTTTCCCAACGTGAGGGAAATTCGATTGTTAAGGGGGCAATTCGAAAAGGACGTCCAGAGTTTAAGGAGACAAAGGACGTTCAAATTTCCAAATTTTCTTCAAGAAGCCGAAATTTTTTGAAATTTCATTTTTTATCCCCCAGAATAAAGAATAATATGATGTATTCATAAAAAAACGTTTTTAAGTTGCGGTGCATTTTAAGTTATTTTATGAAGAAATATCGTTCTAGACATGGACATTTAAATGCTTCTAAAAGATATTTAAATAGCTGAAACATATTTATACATTCTTATATTTATTTATGGTGGCTCTTAGTGAAATGAGCGATACAAACAAGAAAAAAATTCGTCAGTATTCGGATAAATATTAATTTAGAAGTCAAACAGAAAAAATTGGAGAAATCTTTAAAATTGGTTTCATACCCGCTGTACACGATGAACGGTTATCTTTTTGACTTTTATGCCAGCAATGCCTAACCAATGAATTAATGAAAGAGGTCGTTTTGAGGCACATCTGAAGACGAAACATGATCCTCATATTAATTCAGATTTGAATTATTTTCAGGCTTTTAAGAAAAATGTTGAAAAAAGAGTAAAGTCTATATACACTGCTCGTAATGCAACTGTTAATCGCAATATTGAGGCTAGTTATCAAATTTCATTACTATCAAATTTCATCGCTAAATCTGGGAAAAGCCATTCCATGGGCGAGAATTTAATCAAATCATGAAATCATCATTTCTTAAAACGGTTCTAGAAAAAGATGAAAAAAAAAAAGTTAAAGCTATGCCGCTAAGTAACAATACTATTAGCAGAAGAATAGAGGATATTAAAACACAGCTTGAGGAAATGTTGAACGCAAGAAAATTTTCTGTTCGAATGGATGAATCAACTCTGAGAGACAGTAAGGCCATACTTATAATTCAGATTAAGCGATGAACCTATAAATGAATTTAAGAGATTTAATTGAAATATTATTTACATTAACCAAAAAATGTGCGTTGACTGAATTTGGCTTTGCCCGAAAATATGAATTCAAAAGTGCTTGAAAAATTAATAAATTCCGAACTGATTATGTTAAATAAAACAAAAACTTCAGATATGTCCATAGCACCACAAGCAACGGTTCATATAAGCATGAATGTTCTTTGGGGGCCTGGATGATGGCAGAATGGCAGAATGATGGAGAATGAATGCAGGAAAATGAATTATGCACAGACCGGGACATCATCCTCGTCGCGTCCTGAGAGAAGCTATTTCTCTATACTTTAAGAAGACCCGGCGATACCTAATATTTTTACACCTAAATGCACTTCGCCTCCCAGATTGTACAGTGGTTAGTTACGCTGACTGTCTTACCCACATGCCCGAGTTCGATTCTCGGAGAAGGTGCAGATGTTTATAAACGTATAGTCACTTTGAGTCACTCAAAATACACGGTGAGCCGAAACTCCTCTTAAATGGTTCGAAAAAGAAAGAGGGGTGGAAGACCGCCTTCCAGGGTGTTCTTCCTCAAAACTGGGGCGGAAGCTTAACAGTTAACTAGGTTCGGCAGTACCTCAATAACCTATGGTATTACAAAGGTGCTGACCTAGCTTCTACCTGTAATTTCCTATGATAAACAAGGTTAACTAAGAATTAAATAAATCTAAGAATGTTAGCATTCTGATAACATGGCAATCAGAGATTCTTCCGCCCTTCTTTTGTTATTGTCCAATTTCCTTATAATGAATTCATCTGAACATTAACTTCATCACTTCAGTCAAAAATCGTTAGAATGGTGATCATACCGTATAATTAATTATCTGTTCATGCATTTAAATTTGGCTCACATTGGTTTCCATCATAAACTTGAACAGATGTTAAATTTCTTACTTTGTTAGACGTTAGATTTGTTGTTAGGTGTTAGATTAATTACTTTGTTCGAACTTTATTGTGCAAAAAAAAATTTTATTAGATTTCTGTAATACTGTATTTATGTATCAGCAATTTCACGGTCATTTTAGCATATAAATTCCATTACAAAATTTGCTTATTTTTATCTTCCCTATCAGCCTTTGCACTTTTGCCAGATATTTTAATAATATCTTATATCTCAAAATTTAATTAGCTTGTCCTAACAGCAAAACAAATCGAAAGCGCTGCATAATTATTTAAATATTTATTATATTTCTACTTATACATCTAATTATTGTAGACTGACATTAAATTAATTCAAAATATATCTAACTGTAATTTATATGAACATTTATAATTTTTTTAATTAAAAAAGATTATATATAAAGATGTTAGGTATACTGAATTTTTTTTAAATTCTGAGGTGATTTATATATTTAATATTTTATATGCTTCTATTTTTAATTTTTTGAAACTTTTACTAGACGCTCTTTATTTGGATGCTTGACCCCAAAACTCAGATTGTAATATTTTAAGCTTTGAATGAATATCTTCTTCCTCCTTTTCTCGAGAACATGTTGAAAATTCACATATTTTCTGAAGAACTGTTAAAAAAACACGTTAATTTTTAACTGTTTCTGCTAATGGGAATGTTTATGCAAAATTAAGTTAATATATTTTGTATTAAAAATGACTCTAAATTTTAGGAAAATAAGTGTTTCTAGGATTTTCTCAGATATGTTTAACTTCTTATATTTCTTTTTTAACAGTTAATATCATTAAAGCCATTTACACAAGTTGTTTAATTATACGACTCATTTTATTTTCATGTGAAAATTTTGAGATTTTAGCCTATTTTTGTCAAGCAGCATTTCCGTATTAATCAAAAGAAGACTTAACGTTTCTGGTGAAACAAATTTGTATCTCAGCCTAAAGTATAAAATAATAAGTACATCAAAATATTCATGATCGCCCCAGAAAGTACTTTTTACCTTATAGATTTGGATATTTTTGATAAAACATTATTGCAATTCAGAAAATTCGAAGTCTCGAAGTCTATGAAGGATGTTAAATGCTGCAAATTGCTCTTTTGAACTGCCTTTTTTTGGCTATAACTTCTTCGTTTGATAAATGTGGAAAGCAGGAAAACGTTATTCCATCTACGTCACTTGTTTTGGTTCTGCCACAAACATATGGCTATTGTCAATCTTCTCTACTTAGACAATGCATACTTTTAATAAAATTATTTGTCACAGGTGAAAAATTTCTTGAATGTCAATATTTCAACTGGTATGACACAAATTTCGGTTAAACAATATTCAACACTTCCCATATGTGTTCCATCAACTTCAGATCTGACGTACAATAAGTATAAATCTGCTTTGCTTATAAATTTGAACGTGACATTTGCTCAATGTAAGACGAAACTAAACTTTACTTAAAGAACACACACACATATATATATATACATAACCGTGCCATATCCGTTATAAAATCTTGCTTTAAGTTTTCTTAGCAAAAATTACATCGCTTCAAATGATTTCCATTGTTTTAAATCTTTGGATCACAATATTGTAAATTTTTGCATCTTGCAATAAATGAAGAATTTTTCGACTGAGTAGTCAAATAAAAAGGAAGATCTGCGATACATTTACTTAGGAATGTTGAATTATATTGAACTTCTGATGAAATTTATTTTCTCAACGTCTCTATTGATTAACACATCAGGTAAGTAAGGCTATGTATTTTATCTGCAGAAACTATTTGGTTTACATGATATGATGGTTTACATAATATGATAAAATTAATTTAAAAAGCGATTACACAATTATCCAGTTGGTTATAAATGTACAATAAAATTTGATAATACATTAGGCTATCCATATTGATGCTAATCATAAATTTATAAGCTCTATTCTGTTTGGATGCTATCTTATATTAGAAAACGCGAGAGGAAAAAATGTGTGTGCCATAATATGATAAAATTAATTTAAAAAGCGATTACACACTTAATTATCCAGTTGGTTATAAATGTACAATAAAATTTAATAATACATTAGGCTATCCATATTAGTGCTAATCATAAATTTATAAGCTCTATTCTGTTTGGATGCTATCTTATATTAGAAAACGCGAGAGGAAAAAATGTGTGTGCCGTGAACGCAGTCAGCTAATCCATGTTTACGTTTACAAAGTGCTAAATGTTGCCATACTTTTTATATTCCCTATACTATTTATATTTGGCATGCATATTGATGAAGGTATATTCAAATTTGCTCCAGATATCTTCCCAATAGTTAAAAAAGTTAATGTTCGGATTTGTAAAATGTTTCCAAATTTTTGGTTCTTTTTTTTCCCTCTTTTGGCACGTTTATTTACAAAGTTTATTTATCCGAACTGTTAACACATAAAAATACTAACTTGGTATTTGAAACCACTGGAAAATATCTGCTTAATTGTTCTTTATTTTGAAGCTGTAGATGACAATGATTTATAAAGCAATTTAAAATGGAATCTTAAGTTTTAAAATTTTAATTTTAGAAAACAGTTAAGTTTTTTTTATAAATTTAAAACTGAGAATTTTTTTACTATAATACAATTAACAGAATATTATAAGAATTAAAGTCTAATTTTATAATTGTCATTCTAAGAACTGCTTTGACGTTAATTTTAAGATATTATTAGGCGAATGAACTTGATGGCACTGGTTGGCTATTTTAGTTACTAGTTGTTATTTACTGTTACTTTAGTTAACATTTCCAGCGTTAGCAGTGACATCAGCATCTTGGTTAATAGGATTTAAAAAGGCGAAGAGGGGAGAAAATGTATGTGTCGGGGACCCACTGTTGATCAACGTAGACGTTTGCAAGTAATATTTCCGAAAATGAGAGTAATCAAAAACAATCTGAGAGAGATCATTGAACAGTGAAAAATTTCAGCTCTATCCGCGCGTTTGACGAGTTCGTATTAATATTAGCGCATAAATAAAATTATTCGAGATAGATCATTGGGATTTAAAAACAAGGGTTGAACATTGGACAATATGCAGGTACGTTGGTTGGTCATTTAAATTTAGAGCATTATTCGATTCGTTACTGAATCGAGGGGCTTACTAATTTTGCAGACCTACATATAAGGCCATGAATCGAACTGTGTAATGTTTAATATGCAGCTGACGGTTTTGTTCGCATTAGGATGAATATTCAGTTCAAGCTGTCAATCAAGAATGAAGATAATGATGTTCAAGAAATTAAGAGATATTAAAATAAACTATTTAAGTTTAATATGAGATTAAGAGCACGCGAAGTTGAAATTTAAAACTGAGCAAAATTATATTTTAGGTTAACGGTGCTTTTATAGAAAAAATACAAACGTTATATATAGAGAGTTAGTAACTCAAAATGCATTTTCAAATAATTTTGTTTCTTAAAAGAACAAAAATGTTGTACCAGAATACATATACTGTCATAGATTTCTTTTTTTTTTCTGTAAAATTAACACCGCACAAGTTTGAATTTATGTTAAATTGCAGCATTAAAATTTAATTTATAATTTTATTTATATCCTATTTTCTGATTGTTTTTTAATTTATATGTCGTACTTGATATTTTATTCTTATTATACTACATTCACGTTTGATATTTTTGAAAGACTAAATTTTTTTTGTTTCATTTGTGTGTGTGCGTGCAATATAAAATCCGTACGTCAGTTTCCCTTCTACTGAAAATACGAACTTAAAAAAAGCAAGTAAATAAATAAAAATAATAAGATGATAAAAATTATTTAAAAAAATTATATATGCCTTAAAAAGTTATATTAGTTCTTAGCTTTATAATTCGATATTTGATTCTTAAATTTGTCAAAATTTTTTCAAATACATTTCTTGTATTCTAACCCATTGTTCAGGACCACCAGCGACGGAGCGGTAAAGTCACTGAACACTGGTAGTTCGGTACGAGGTTCGAATCCCGCGAACGGGCTGTCTGCGTGGGTGTTTTCGTGGTTTACCCCGTGTGTAACGTGTGTACGAGGCAGTTTTCCTTAGAAAGTCCTCCACGAAGGCATCTCTCCTCTTAGGCAGATAGCCCTCGAGGCTTTGCCGTAATTAAATAACCTAACCTAACCCATTGTTCATTTTAAACTTTAACTTTCTCTTCACTCAGATTTATTTTTAGCAACATGCGACTACGTCTGGAGACACAATTCATTTCTGAACAAAAACAGAAATACTTTCCTTCTATAGAATTAAAACTACTCCATTAACTTTAATAACTTAGTCTTTTTTACTATGTTTGACTTATTTTGTCTTAAGAGTGAGGAATTATTGCATTCTATAAGAGGCAAAATTAGGAAAACTATTCTGTTCTTTTCAGAGCTATAGTAATATCGTTTCACTTTTACTAAACTACCTTAGGTGAACATCACCTGACTTCCTTGTACGGCCTATTAAATTATACACATTTTTGCTGCAATTCAGTTAAATTTATTTCCTTGAATTTCATTAAAGATACATATATTTCTCATTCAATTAATTCACTTCTCGGCAAGGCAAATATACATAAAATCTCACAGCATCTTCATTAAAAATTGCAAAATAAAAAATAAAATAAATAAATAAAAATAACTTAAAACACAAAATACAATTAAAGACAGTTAAAAACAATTTTTTTCGATTGAAATTAGAGTTTCTATGCGAGAACAAGCAATTCGGCCAGCGGGCAAAAAGACAGATTTTTTTGGTGCAGAAATTGAAAGTTTACTTTTGGTCCCACTCAGCAAAAAGACACTGAAGTTGTGCACCAATTGACTTAATCCAACACTCTACTAAGATTTTCAAATGTAAACAAATGGCAGTCTCGTTTGGCTTAGCACCACTTAAACGTTTTAATTGTTGATAATTCAACACCTATTGCATGGAGATGAACTAAAGGCCGAATACCAGAGACAATCCCCTGTCCTGGTTAAAACATAGGAATAGCGCCCGATCTCCGGGAGACCAGCCAAGCGGGCGCAGCCCTCGCGGCTCCCTCCGGACTTTATACAAAGCTTGGGGGGGGGAATAACGCTCAGACATCTTTGCCCCCCAGGCCGACACCACTCCGGTTGCAATGTATATATACATAAAAGTGTTCCGTTCATTCTGTCAGACCCCAGCAGAGGACCGAATGGAAACAAATCCCCAAGGAAAGCCTCATATCAACCATGCCATGACCCCACAGCCAAGGGACAAACAAGACAGTACCATATAGTCCCTACGGAGACTGAACCATCCTCCGAATGAATGGAGGTTCTAGTCCTCTGAAGCCTGATTATATACCACCGTGGCCGAGACTGCCTAAGTACTGATCCTAGGCAGTAGCTTCATCGATTTTCCGGCGTCGACCACCGGCGGGATGACTAAAGGCGTTAAAACCTTAATCGAAGCTAGAACAACAGAATTCGATTATTTTAAACCAAAAAATGCGCAATAAAGAAACTGAGCTCATCGAGACGGGTAACAGAGAATCGAGCCAAGTAATATATATATTTATATACGTTTGGCGCGGCCGATTGCAGGAAAGAGGGAGGTGTACAACTACATGATATAACAGTCTCACGTTTAAAATTGCAATATTCGTTTTTGAGTTATGTGAGATACATACGTAGGTACGTAGAAATGTCACAGAAAATATCTTCTGAATACATGTTAAATCCATTTTACAATCTGTTTTGGAAAAAGAAGTCATTTATTCTGTCCGTAGGTACAGATGTCACAGAAAATTATCGTTTAAATGGATTCCAGAGCGGTCAAAATTTATATTTTCGTTGAAATATGATGCCTGAAATTTTCCCGATTACAATACTTCCTTTATTTCATATACGGAACTAAAAATTCTAAGAAATCGGCTTATTTCTTTCTAGCAAGAATTACAATCGAACAACAAATAACTTTGTTCTGCATTCAAAACTACGACGGTTAATATATTTTTAAGATATGTAAGGATCTTAAGTTTTACTAACGTTTATTTTATTTTAAATCTTTACTATCACTTCTTATTTTCTACTTCCGGCCAGAATTAAAAGCTTTAACTTATTTATGCAAATTTGTCTTGCGAACGCCAAGTAGTTAAGTTGTGGCTTTTTGCCAAGCAAGAGAGAGGAAGGAGTGATTAGAAGCAGGCCGCTTACCTTAGAAGTTTTACTCGGTTGCTGGTTGCCTTCCAGGCCAGAGGTTTTAATCCTCTTGATAATTTTAAACGTATTGTAGTGTTAGCACAGTTCTCTGTACTACATACGGCTTCCTGTTAATATAAGGCCAATCTTCAGTAGGCACTTGTTTATTAATCCAAAGTTAGTTTAGTTAGAGTTTAGTTAATTTTTTATATTCTTACGTTCAGACCACAAGTGGTTGGTCTCTGTATTCCGAAGTACGGAAATTATTGTAAAGAGAGAAAAATAAAGGGTTTTGTATACCTTCTTGTGTGTATCCTGTCTACTTCCCACATTATTGAACATAGCTTTAGTAAGCTCCTGTTCCGAGTCAGGTCCTTGTATGTTCCCAAAGCAAGTAAGGAGGAACACTGAACCTGATAGTGGCGCCCGACGAAGAAGAATAACCATGGCCGAGTTTCAAGAAGAACCTGTGCTGCCTGCAGAAGCGGCTCAGAATCCAGAAATGCCAGCTGCCGCCCTGGAAGGATTTGGTTACATCGTCCAGACCATGCGCGCTTCGATGAAACCAGAAGCAA